AATTGTACATTTAATTATCAACTAATCCGACAAATTAGAAGTTTTTGAAAGGTATATCCATTAAATCCTACAGGTAAAATATCCCTGAAATAGAAATCTCTGAAAAATATTTTTATTTTTTTAATTTTTATTTATTTTTAAAAACATTTTTAACATCTACTTAAAGATAGAGAACTAAGTGCTAACATAAAAACACAGCAAATATTGGCCCTCAAGGAGCTTTTATATATTTTTTCCCAACGAAATACTACCTTTTATTTATTTTTATTGACGTATAATTGACATAAAACATTAGTTTCAGGTTGTGCAAAATAATGATTTGCAATATATTTGTGAGATGACTGCCACAGTAAGTCTAGTTAGCATTTACCACCATATATAGTTACAGGGAAACATGTATCAACAGAAAGAACATAGAATCAGACTTGAAATGACTGCACATGAGTAATTATAACCCAGGATATTAATATGTTTTTAATATATTGAGAAATATAACATCCAAAATATGGGGAAAGAATGAAATATTAAAATGACCATTCAGGGGCACCTGGCTGGCTCAGTCGATAGGGCATGTGACTCTTGATTTTGGGGTTGTGAGCACAAGCCCCACACTGTGTGTAGAAATTACTTAAAAATAAAATCTTTTAAAAAATGACCATTCAGATGTATCTCTGATGTTCAGATGTGTATGAACCAGCAGAAAATTGAGCAGTTGAACCTTGAACAATGTGGAGGTTAGGGGCACCAACCCCCATGCTGTTGAAAATCCACGTATAACCTTTGACTCCCCCAATACTTAACTACTAATAGCCTACTGTTGACCAGAAGCCTTGTTGATAACATAAAGTTAACTGACACAAATTTTGTTTTCTATACTGTAGTCTTACAATAAAGTAAGCTAGAGAAAAGAAATGTTATTAAGAAGAGATGGGGCGCCTGGGTGTCTCAGTTGGCTAAGCATCTGCCTGCGGCTCAGGTCATGATTTCAGGGACCTGAGATGGAGCCCAGCATGAGGCTCCCTGAGCAGCAGGGAGTCTACTTCTCCCTCTCCCTTTGCCCCTCCCCTCTGCTTGT